GAAGGTGAACCAGTGAAGGACCTTGGGAGATACCAAAGACTTGTGGGTCGGCTACTATACTTGTGTATGACAAGACCGGACATCTCCTATGCAGTGAGTGTAGTGAGTCAAATACATGCGTGCTCCACGAGACTAGCACCGGAAGGCAGTTGACAGGATCCTTGCTTATTTGAAAGGACATCCAGACAGAGGCATATTGTTTACTGATCATGGACAGCTGAAGCTAGAGACCTATACAGATGCGGATTGGGCAAGATGCCTTGATGACAGAAGATCAACTTCAGAAGTGTGCACCCTAGTTGGGGGTAACCTAGTCTCATGGAAGAGTAAAAAACAAACAGTTGTGGCAAGATCATGTGCAGAAGCGGAATATAGGGCCATGGCACATGGAGTTTCAGAGCTTCTCTGGATCCATTCTCTGTTAGAAGAAATCGGTGTACAGGCAGAAGAACCTATGATGTTATACTGCGATAACCAGGCAGCAATCAATATTGCCCATAATCCAGTCCAGCATGACCGAACTAAGCACATTGAAGTAGATAGACATTTTATCAGAGAAAGGGTAACTTCTGGAGAAGTTTGTCTTCCATACATTTCTTCTAATATGCAGCTTGTTGATGTTCTCACAAAAGGTGTTGTAAAGAATAAGCTAGAACATGATCTACGCAAGTTGGGAATGTGACATCTATTCCCAACTTGAGGGGGAGTGTTGAGTGGGCCGATTTATGTTTAGTTTGTTTTCTTTTAAATTAAGAAGTTGTTGGGCCTTGGGCCCATTAGTTTTTTATTTTTAAAAGAATTGTAAGTACTTAGTTTGAGTTGCCGCCCTACTAGGGGCATCTTTGTAATAACTCATATTTAAGTTAATTATAAATAGAATGAGGGGCTGGCGGCTAGGGTTATGTATCACTATCCTAGTCGACCTTCTCCTTTTCTTCCCTTTCCTCTGTCTATTGCTAAAACCCCCAACTTTCTCCTCTTCCTTTCACAAGAAGCTTGGCCGATTCAGCACATAAGGCTTTCTACTGAAAGCATTGTAAACAATCTTTTAAACCAAGTAATAAAATAAGTACTTCTGCTTTTAATATTGTTCACACTAATGTATGGGAGCCATATCATATCCCTTCCATGGGAGGATTCCATTACTTTCTCTTGTTTGTGGATGATTATACACGATATTCTTGAATATATTTGATGAGATCACGTGATGAGGTTCCTAACTTAGTACGACAGTTCCACCAGATGGTTCTCACACAATTTGGAGTTAGAACTAAGGCTTTTAGATCAGATAATGCCAAAGAGTACTTTGAGAAGGACCTGACCATGTATCTCTTAGAACATGGTGTAGTTCATCAGAGCAGTTGTGCATATACACCGCAACAAAATGGAGTTGCTGAGAGGAAGAACATCATAAAACTAATTAATCTTCAACAGCTTCTATTGAAAATTAATGAATTTTATTTATTAAAAAAATGTTACCTTCATTACTAAATTACATTTGACATGAAAAAATAGCATTCATCTTGTACATTAGTTGTTAATTTATGCCAAATGAGCCATGAGATAGAAAAATATGTCACACAGAAGTATCAACCATCCCCACGAATCCATCAAGTATTTGACTCTGATATGTGTCCAACAAGGACACACCATCCATTTAATAGAATCCATGCAATACCGCTTTTACTGGATAAAATAATCATGTAATGAAAGATTTTGGTGTATAGTAACAACTCTAACATGCTACTTGGCCATCAAGGAGTTGCAAGCTACTTGATAACTTATTCACTATAATGAAAAGCAATATGCCATTTAGTACCAAAGAAGCTCTATTGTGGAAGTGGAGATTAGGGAGGAGAGAGAGAAAATAATTTTTTTAGGTGCTCTATTGTGGAAGTGGAGATTAGGGAGGAAAGAAATAAAAGAATTTTTGAGGAGTAATAGAAGTTTTAAGAACAATCAGACCAAGGAATATTAATAGAAAGTATTCCTATGAGGGTAGCCCAAGGTGAAGAGCTTGGAAGTATTTCAGCCATTTTCCACTAAAAACAAAATTAAGAATTGACAAAATGTAGAATTTTGGAAAGGTAACAGTTGTGTGTTTTCCACTCTTGAAGTACTGTTTTTATGATATTTTTATGCTCGGGGGTAGTTATGCCTTTTCCCCTTTTGTTACGGTTGTAGGTAATTGTGGCCATTAGGCCTTCCTGATCCATGGTGTGATGAGAAAGTCCACAACATCAGTGGTATAGCCTCAACCATAGGAGAGATCTCTACATGTTAACACTACACACAGTCATCCCACTTTTTCCAGTATTGGCCGAGAAGCAGTTGCACCTGTATTAGGCAAAGTAGAATCAATCAATCAATAGACAAGAATGAATTGACAACCACACCAAGAACCAAAGGATTTGGAGAGGATGCATGTGTATGAATAATTTTTTGATTGGTCCACAACTGAGTAACTTTTCCCCCTGTAAGTTCCTAACTAGGGGTGTGAACAAGAGAGGTAACAACCCAAGTATTTGTTCCTTCCATTCCCTTCTTACCCCTTTTTGATGAGTCAAAGCATTTCCGTAAGTGAGAATTTGGAACCACTGATCGTACATCCTTTAGACATTGAGAATCTGGGAATCATTCCTCTTCACTTGGGGGGGGGGGGTACAACCTGCTAAACTTCAATAACTAAATCTACTTTGTTTCCTTCTTATCTATCCTCAATATAGCCCCTAAATCTAATTGTTCATGTCTTCCAATAGTGATGTGTTCAGGACACTACATCCTCCTCAATGAAAAGAAGCTCTATGTGAAAACTTTCCTATGCCCGCATATCTATATTCCCTACCAAATCTACACTACCAATACTACTCGAAGAATCTAAGAAAACTAACTCATCTTCCTCCTCGTTTCTAGACCATTCATCATTCAAATCAGAGAGCTCTTGGATTACATCGCTCTGGTGAGGCAAGCTCCTTGTCTTTGCTGGAACCCAACGCAGTACCCCATTATCTCCTTTTTTCATTGTTGCAATCTTAGTCTAGCCAGAATTTGACAAAGAGGAAGATGACAGATGGCACTTACTATCCATCACCGACCTTTTAGCCCCCCTCACATTCTCCTTAAGAGATTCACATGGCCTCTCAAAAGTAGGAGGCCCAATTACAAAGGTCACTATTGTTTTCACCTCACTAATGGGCCTGTTTGATAGCCATCAACACTCCTCCCTTACTCTTTAAAAAGGCCCATCTCCTGTCTGGATAGTCCTAAGTGCCTCCATCTAAACAATGAGTTTGTCCACAATCTACTGGTTCAAATGAAGGCCTGCCCCAAGTTGTCGATCCAGCTATCCAAATTTTAAAATACTTGATTTACTGTTGAAATCCCTAGCCACCACCTATGCGTAGGTCCAAGCACGCATTTTACCAGAACTCTAATCATTTCTCTCTTCATTGTTTTCTTGTGGTAATACTTTTGGCTTTCCAGAAAATTGTGTCACCATTTTTGTGTAACTTCCAACCTCATTTGATTGTTCCAATCTCTTCATGCCACATAAATCATCTTCTTCAAACTTCTCATCTTCTCTGCGTGCGCTTCCCTACACAACTCCGCTTCAATGGAGGTAACAACCCACACTAAGTAAATAATTTCATCTGTGAGGATTTGAGCTTTCCTAGGAAAATCTGGTAAAGATTCCTTCTAAGACACCTCCACACATAGAAGTCAAAGATGTAAAGGTGTCAGCCTTCAACAGATGAAACAACAATCCCAGCAAACGAACTACTATCCCCTTCTCCATGTTCAATGATTTCAAGTTTCGTATTGGAGACCACTTTGTAACTAAAACTTGACCAGCCTCCAGAATACAAACAACTCTTAAATCCAAACTATCCTCCACTAATTCAAGCAGGGATGTGTTCTTCTCAAAAGGGGTTACTATTATTATACCTATCAAGTGTAAGCTTCTAATTATCGCCTGTGCAACCTTTTTCTAGTCTTCTATCTTATCCTTAGCTTGAATCATCTCTTTCTACTCCCAATCCTTCTTATCCCGTGTCAAGGCAATAATACCCCTACTTGCGATGCATTCCAATCCCTATTGACTTTTTTCCATCCTCCCAATGGTCTTCACCTCTCATTCTTCATCTCTTTCCACTGTCTTCATTTGTACTTTTAACACCTTTGACACCACGTCCCAACCTTCTCCTTTCTTGCCTTTAGGAAAACAAATCATCTGCTTCCTCCCAAGACTAAAAATCTCAACCAAAGTACTTAAAGCTCCCTTCATATTCTTCTTGAAGTACAAAAGCATCATCTAACTCCCGCTTAGAAGCACCTACCTGCACCGCTATATCTGAGTCTTCTTCCTTTTCAAACGAAATAACTTCAATGTTATTAGTCATTACCTCGAGGGACCCTTGATGTATCTCCTTTGGTCAATGAAAAGGAACTTCCCCAACTAAACCACTACAATCTAAGTGCTGACGAGACTAAGACTCCAATTTCAACTCAGGCAAAGACTTATCTGGGACTTCACACAAATTAAATGGAGTTGTTCCCACCTTCAAATCAACTGGAACCTTACTACCTGTTAACAACCTTGAAATATCATTTTAGAGAATCTAGTAACCACCCATACCCATTTTTCTTTCTCCCTTGCTCTCAAACTCATAGCTTTTCTCAAGTATTACTTTTTAAAGATCATGCCTTTCCTCCTCTCGAGACGTACAATGAAACCAACGATTAGACTACTTCACCTTTTATCCAAATTGGTCTTCTTAGAACCACTCTTTTTATAGCACCTTCCTGAAGTAGCTGAAGATTGCTCGATACTGTTTGGGTTGGGTTTCTCCAGCATTATCAATTGTGAGCTTGGGATTGGATGCCCCACAAGCCAACAATTCTTTTCCTTGGTAATTGATAGTGAGTCGGTTATCATCCCTAATATCTATCATATTAAACCTAGGCTCACATGATCACATAAGTGAGCAAGAGCCATCTGGTTTAACCTCATCTGATGGAGTTTATAACGTGACCCACTCAACCGGTTTGGCCAGCTAATGGATTATATATACATATATACATATTTATCTATCTAGAAAAGTAGATCTTTAATGAGTAATGACAAATATTGGACATTTCAAATTACAACCACTAACTATCTCAGGTACCTGTTTCAGCTCACCAAGATATCTTCGAGCATGTTCAGATGCTGCTGGTCGTGTACCAAGCTCATTTAATCTGTATAAATAGTCAGCAGAACGTAAGTTTCCATAAATGAAAATAAAATCCTTTGAACTACTGCAAATGGGAACCACCTGAAAAATATTGGGTCACCAATAGCTTTTAAAAAATCTAGGCGTTCCTGGAACTCAGTTGCTGAAGCATCTTCACCATCAGTATACAGCCATTCTTGCACCTGACACAAAACAAAATGGTTGAATCAGAATGCTGAAGTGATAGAGTGAAGGCAAAGCCAATATGCCTGCTAAGTGGATATATGACAACTAACCTCATCAAGCTTCTCAACAAAGGATTGACGTTCCTGGGATGTTGATATTTTTTCAATCTCTTCAGATGATTCAAGCTGGTATTAGCAGCAACAAAGATAACATGAAAGGAGTCAAAATAAGTCAACTACAAGGCCAATGTTTAAATAAAAAGTGAAAAAAGTTACAAGCGAAAAAAAAGGTAAATTTAACTTTTAGATGAAAATCAGGGACTAGAAAATGCTATGACCCCAAGCAATCCCAATCCTCTCCCCCTTAAAAGAAAATGAGATCTGACAAGTGGACCGAGGAATAATGAAAAGCATAATAACCAGTTTGTAGAACTAAAGAAATGATTTCATGCCTCTTCAGGTTGCTAAAACAGTAGTTTCAATATCATGGAAACAAGAAAATTCCACTATCATGAAAAAAAGGAGCTGTAAGAAAATGAAACCTCAATAGGACCAATTGCAGGATAAATTAGAAATATAACTAAACAAAATCCTCAACACTTGTTAAAAGATAGAGGGATAAAGAACAAGGAAGTTCAATAGAGCTTTATTAAATACAAGTTTAGAATTGTTAAAGAACTCTAAAGTACAAACCTTTTCTCTAGTAGCATATATGTATCCTTCCAAGTTATTTTTAAGCTCTGCAGTTCTTCTTCGCTCCGCATCTTTTTTGTCAAGTTGCTCCAGTCTATGTTTTGCTTCAGAAAAAGATTCTTTAGAAAGAGACATTCCAGGGCCCATCGTTTTTTCAACTATCTGTACTTGTAAAATAAAAACAGTTAGCTGAAATCATCAACTTCAGAACTATCCCTGGTCAAACTAAAGTTACAGTGTGGCATAAGTTAATGACGACAAAGCTGTTTCAATTTATGCACCTTCAGTGGAATCCTAAAAGTTCTCTTCTTCAGTTTTCTTTCAGTCACAGAATCTATGCTAGTTTGCTCTTCCAAGTTTGAATTCGATGTGTTAGCAATTGCACCATCATTGAGCATGTCATCCTTCATTGTTTCCGAGGTGTTTACTGCACTAGATTCAAGTGATACATTAGCAGTAACAGTAGTTGAATTCTCCACAGTCAAATTCTTTTTAGGAATTTCTACCCATTCTGAAATTTCAATGACGGCATCTGCACGATCCAAAGAAAGTATTCCACTTCTACTGAGAGAGAAATGCAGGTTTGCCTTGATAGGAGATGACAGATTGCGAGATGAATACCTAAACAGAAGTATACCATAATAGCTGGTTATGTTATGCAGTCTTTGCAATAGGAGAACTGGTATCATTGCTCAAAATTATTAAAGCAGTTTTTTAATCAGCAATAGCATCAAAGAAGAACCTAGATCCAATCATTATTTAAGAAGTTGCCAATCTCTTACTTCTCACTAGCATCTGTCAGACCAGAAACTGCATAGTGGGCAAATTTATCAGAAGAAATGCCAGGTGGTAGTAGATCTGCACTCTCATAACTGAGAGAAACTTCAAAGTCCTTGTTATGATTAATAGACCTAAACATCTGTATCATTAGCACACCCAAACATAATTAGTAAGTTGCCAACCAAATGTAACTCTAACAAACTTAAACATTAGTGAGAAGCAAATGCAAATACCAATCTAACACACTATCATGGCAACCAAGTCCAACTTACAGTTTATACCTTACTGGGAAGTTTCTTCATTCGTGTTACAAGTAGCTGTTTACTGCTATAGTCTTCTAAAAGATCTGGCCCATCAATCTCAATCATAAAACCATATGAACAACCATCAATCATTCCTAGCCTGCGATTCAACTTGATTCCATCACTTAAATTTGCAGCATGAAGTGATGCTCCAAGTGCAATAGCTTCATCAGCATCCAGATGTTTGTCCAGATTTTTCCTCCCAAGAAATTCCTGGAGTTTAGCCTGTAAGAAAGCAAACAGTGTCTCATACTCAGTTTGCATCAAATGTAGGTAAACTCAACCCTTTAAACATAATGGTGCGTGTCAGTGTAATGGATTACATTTTTTTGCATGGTGGTCTGCGTGTAAACCCAAGAAGTATTGGCATTATATCATATATTAACTCCTACACATGTACATTGACTGATTGTTGATTGTCATATTAAAGGCATTATATTATATATTAACCTCTACACAAGTGCATTGACTGATTGCTGATTGTCATATTAACCTCTATATATGGCAAAGGAGTTCTGTGTAAGTTGGATGTCGAGAGCCTATGATCTTGTGGACTGGTCTTTTTTACTGGAGGTAATGAGGGAACATGGATTTGAGAGGAAATGGTGCAAGTGGATTGCTGGTTGTTTACAAACTTGTAATTTTTTTCAGTCTTGGTCAGTAGTGAGAGATTTTTTCCCCACTTACAGAGGCCTTAGACACGGAGACCCACTATCTCCTTTCCTTTTTCACTCTAATCACAGACATGCTTGGCAAGTCAACCTCTAGAGCTGATAGGGAGGAGTTGTTTAAGGGTTGGACAGTTGGGAGAAACAATGTTATGTTACCTCCAATTCGTTGACGATATAATAATCTTCTATTATGGGAGCAATTTACAATACATGAGGAGGTTGAGATTGTTGCTAAAGTTATTTGAATCTTTGTCAAATTTAAGAATAAACTTCAAAAAGAGTTGTGTAACTGGGGTAAATTCAGAGGACAATGAATTAAGTGCAATAGTGGAGGTGCTAGGTCTTCCTCAAGGATGCAATCCGAGTGGTGATTTTTGGATCCCTGTCTAAGAAAAATATGGGAAAAGGTTAACAGCCTAGAAGTGTAATTACATTTCCATTGGCGGAACGATAACTTTGATTAAGTCCACTTTGGCCAACCTGACTACTAGTTTTCAGGGTGCCAAAAAAAGTGGCTAGGGTTTTGGACAAGAGAAAAAAACAGCATCTTCTTGGCATTCCAATAGACAGATTCTAGATACCAACTAGGCAGCAATAAATTAAAAACAATAAGCAATCCAACTCTCTATACACTTCCAATTAAAGAGTTTATGGGATTGAAGAGAAAGAAGGAAGAGAAAATGGTTGATCTAATACCAAGATGTAAATCAACACAAAAGAAAAAGGTATTTCAATCTGAAAATAGAAGAAAAGTGAAGATAGCAGAAATCAGAAGAGGAAGAAGATGGTGAGAGAAGAAGGGAGAAGGAGAAGAGAGTTCAATCAGTCAACTCCAGTCCACTCTCCTTTCTCCTAATTACTTTTATTAATCCAATCTCAAAGGAGATAATTACAAAGATTCCCTTAATGGGGAGGCCTGCTAACAACATAACACAAAAGAATGAATAAACTACTGTTAGCAGGCCCATTAACATAAACACAACAAATAAAAGGATAGGAAATAAAAAAACACTAGGGCCCATTCGGCCCAGTCTCTTTACAGAAGATGAGGGCATTTCAGGAGTATTAGTAAAAAATTTAAGTCCTAAGTGGTGGGTCTCGAACTCTTCTTCCTTTTGCATCTCACATCTTTACTCGTTTGGCCTCCATGAGCCCACCACTCCACTCTCAGTGGTAGTGGTGGGCATCGGGACTCGAAGAGCCAAGTAGGAAATGAAGCTAAATTGCTGGCTGGTTCTACTTTTATGGATTGGTCGACTTTTGTTGACTCTTTTAATGTTGGTGCAGAGAGTGGGGTGGTGGGCTCATGGAGGCCAAACGAGTAAAGGTGTGAGATGCAAAAGGAAGAAGAGTTCTCTGGGTTAGAATGGGTGGAGCCACATGGTTTTGTGGGGCCAGTTGAAGGATTAAATGGGGAGCTTTTTAAGGAATTTAATTTTAAAAAGAAGAGTGGGCTGTACCTGCGGCCTAAGTTGCAGGTTGACAATAGGGGCCACGCTTATTTCAAGCGTTGAAAGGCTAAAGCTTTGGGAGTCCTAAACAGAAACGAATCTGAGAAGTGGAACAAGGGGAAGGAGAGTTGGGCTGGGATGATCTCGAAGTTCGATAGAGGTGGCAACAGGAAGACTGTTGAAGATGTTGTGGAGGATCGTGCTGGCTCTGGTAGGTGTCGGAGCATTGCTGCGGGTGATCAATCTCCTGGGACTTGTGATCAATAGAGCATTGAGTCTCCTGTAGCCAGTAACAACTCAGAGGATCAGAAGAATGCTGACTTTCCGATAAAAGAAAGTTTTGCTGCTTTGGTAGAGTCGGTTGGGTGATCAATCTCCTGGGACTTGATCAATAGAGCATTGAGTCTCCTGTGGCCAGTAACAACTCAGAGGATTAGAAGGATGCTGACTTTCCGATACAAGAAAGTTTTGCTGCTTTGGTGGAGTCAGTTCTGACTGGTTCAGAGGAGAATTATGAAGGGGTGGATAGGTTGGGAGATCATTAGAAAGTTGATGTTCTTTGTTCAATTGGCTAAGTATCTGTAGGTGGTTCAGAGGAGGGTCCTGTGGAAGCTATTGGCAACAGGAGTCTTTCTTTGAACTTGATGCCTGCTGCTGATCCTTTTTATTTTGAGGAGGTGATGATAGGTAAGTTTAAACCACATTTGCTACAGCACTGTCGTAGCGCTGCACTGAAACAACAAAATCAAAACCTTTGATTTATAGATGTGGCCCACCTTGAATTAAATGAACTAACATTTTGGAGGGGCCATAGGAGTGGATTTGGGTCGCAAGAGGAAAGAGGAAGAGGAATTGAGGTTGAGAACATTGAACTGGTTCCAAAGAAGTCTTGTGTTCCTTGCAAGCACAACGCATTGTTCACATAACTAAAGTCTTCTTGTGGCTGAAGCTTGGATTGGTTGGTGCAGGTACAAGAGAACAGGGGGTAAATGCAAAGGTTTCATTGTTGGATAGCGTTGGTGGGGAAGACTCTTTTGGCACCAGCAATTTGGAGATACAGTTGGATTATGATCATAAGAAGAGGAGTGTGGGAACAATTGAAGATGAGGTGAGAATGGTTGATAGCAATTCGGAGACACAGATGGATAATGATCATAAGAAAAGGAGTGTGGGAACAGTTGAAGATGAAGTGAGAATGATTGATATGATCCCAGGAGAAAAGGTGGAGAAGGAAGGAAATTTGGCTAATGAGAAAAATGTTGAAATTGGAAAAAATCCCGGTCCTTTTTTTTTTTTGGGGGGGGGGGGGGCTTTTATTAGAGAAGCCTTGAGGAGTTTGAGAGGAGGGAAGAAAGTTTGAAAAATGTTATAGTGGAGGAAGGAGGAGAGGTGTGGAATGAAGCTGACAATGGGCAGGAAGAGCTGTTTGAGGGGGAGGACTAGTGATGATTCATGAAGTTTTCATTTGGTCTTGGGGGGTTAGGGGATGGAGTGATGATGTATGGTGTTTGAGGAAGTTTTTGATTTTGCTGTTTTGTTTGGTGTTTAGTTTCCTGTTTTTTGGGTTGTTTCATTTGAGGTGTTTTCCTTCCCCCTGTTGGTGAACCCTTGTGACCTTGTTTTATGTTTTCTTTTGTTTCTTTAACAAATTTCATTTTATTATCAAAAATAAAGCTAAGGCTAGTGACTAAAAGGGATGTCATGCACACATATTGTAACACATTCTCCCTAAATATATTAACAAAGCACTTTGATTATTATCAATAAAAAAATAAAAAACTATGCCCAGAAGCAAGCCGGTGGTGGATTGGAAGCCTCCTGATGCAGGCATCATTAAACTAAATTTTGATGGCAGTAGTTTGGGCAACCCGGGGCCATCTGGAATAGGAGTCTTCAGAAATGATGAGGGCCAGATTGTAGCTCTATTTACTGGTCCTATAGGGTGGGGAGACTCTGTAAATGCAGCCAAGCTGTGTTACAAGGAGCAGAACATGCAAGAGAGTTGGCAGTGGAGCATTTAATGATTGAAGGTGATTCCAAACTGGTTATTGGATGGCTAAAAGAACCACAGACGGCAGCCTGGCTGTATAGGGGGTTTTGAGAAGATTTAAGTGGCTGACTTCAAATATTTCAGTCACAGTTCAATGGGAAAGAAGATCGGCAAATGGGCTGGCAGACCTTCTAGCTAAACAAGGAGTACATAGGAATCAGCTCTTTTGGGCTCAATTGTAAGCTTTATGATGTAGTTTGGAGGYTGCACCTCGCGCYTCTTTGTGGGGAATTGTATGATGAATACTTAGTTCTTTATTTAATAAAATTTTCATTATCATTATCTATCAAAAAATAAAAACAAAAAACTATGCCAGAGGAACAACTAAATTACCACTTCTATGAAACAGAATATAAAAACATGAATTAGCTCATGAAAATTAGCACCAGATATCATAAAGAAGATCTATCCACTGACCTGTAACTTTGGCACGCGAGTGGCACCGCCTATCAGCTCTATTGCATATATCTCATCAACATTCAAACCTGAATGCTTGATCACTTCTTTCACAGGCAGAAGAGATTGCTCCCACAGGTCTCCACAAAGATCTTCAAATTTCTCCCGAGTTACTGTGCTTCTATAGAAAATAAAAATAATAGAAATAAAAAAAAAGAAAAATATAATTACCATCATGTTGATTTTCACAGGTATTAGTTAACATTTTACAAATAAATGTAAAGGGTATTAAAAATGAGCAAGTGAAATCATGGCTCTATACTTGCTGGTTACCAAAGTCCATTTGACAAAGGGAACAATAGGAAAAGGTATGCATTTTCAGTGAGTGCAAGGTGCAAGAAAAGCACAAGGGCCTTATAGTGCTTGAGGAACAAGGCAAGGCACTCAGTTTTGAAGCAAGGCACAAATTTTTGAAAAAAAAAAGAATAATACAAAAAAAAGGAAACCTGGATTTTAAAAGAAATTAAATTTAAAATGCCTGTTGGCTCAAAGTAAAATACATAAGCATAACATATAATCACATATAAAGTGAAAATGTGAAAGTGAAAGCAAACATATGTAGATCGTATCTAAGTGCTTCATGCACTCAACAATTCAAGCATGTGAAACTTTTAATCTATACATTTATCCCTATTTGAATTATTTCAAGTAGCTAGTGTGATGTTAAACACCTTGCATTCCCTATCCTAAGAAATTGGCCCTCCACCTTTGTAAGGGCCCCTTGAGGCAAGTCAAAATAAGTTCATGCTGGGGTATGGGGCAACATCCAGCCTAAATTTTTAGTCTTTATATGTAAAGCGGGGTTGGTTTTGTGATTTTAGTTGCAATTCATTTCATTTTAGGATTAGGGGTAAGGTATTGGTTGTACTGTTATAGTAGCTTTTTCAGTGACAATTTTGTTATTTGAGATCCTATTTGCCAGAAGCACAGCTTCAGAGCAGCAATATTGTGGACTGACTTTAATAAGTGCCATTTCTTATATCTTCTCTTGTCTTTTAGTTTAATGCTTTTACGTTACTTCTGCCCAAGGTTCACAGTATCAATATACCCAAATATGACGGAAGGGGTGTATATGTACTTTGCACCACACTCTTCTTTTTTTAGTTTTCCTTTTCAAAAATAGGGAAGAGAGGTAGGTTTTAGGCCTGGCTACCCCCTGAAATGGGTCAAACCACCCAAAAGAAAAATATTTGGCGTATTGACCGATATGGCCAGATGTACGTGATGAAATTTTGAGCCTTGCTTCTGCCCTCATAATAGTCAGTCTAGCAATCATACATCTTATCTACAACCACATTCATCACTGATTCACTGCTTTCCTTCTTCATAACACTCACACTTTTTACTACTAAAAACTAATTCAGCAAGTCTTTCCCTTTAGTTTTCTCTATTAATTTACAAAAGCAGTGTAGCCCCTAACTGATCTGTTTAGAGCATAGAAACCTTCTCTTTCTCGCAGCCTAACTGGTTTCCAACTACTTTACAGCTTTCTAAATTCTAACCTCATATCCAGACCTACAAATCTAACCATGTTCTGAATCTAAAAACAGAAGTTTCCAACACATCTTGCTGCATCATTTCCTATAGTATGATTTGCTAAAATATACAATATTTTTCAGTCTGTTAAGCAAAGAAACTCTAGAAGCATACATAAAGTAAAGGGCAGCCCAGTGCATGAGTTTCCCCGCCAATGCGGGGTCTGGGGAGGGACAGTTGTACACAGCCTTACCCTTCACATACAAAGAAGCTGTTTCCAAGATTTGAACCCTGGTCACCCAGATTGAAATGGAGCAACTAACCGTTGTGCCAAGGCCTCAGTATTGATGTTACATCTTCTTGGTAAATGGTAAGCAAGTTCAAGTAACCATGTACTACAGGATGCAATGATTAAAGCCTAGATTGTTCAAGCAGCATGGGAGGATGCTATCTTTTCCTTTGTATAGTATGTCCCCTTCTGCAAATCTTTAACTATAGATAACACAAGCAAATTTAGTGAAGCCTTCTAGATTTTCGAATCCTATTTACTGGCCCTTTGTTTTGGTTGGAAATTCCTACATTTTCTGCTCTGTGATTACTATTTCATGCCAAAAGGTTTGAAAACATCATAGCTATGTCTGTACATGAAGCTAGTTTTCCTTCTCTTTTGATCAGTATTTTTTAATATATGCAGTACTAACCATCTTGTAACTTCTTGACAAGAAATAGTATCACATTTACACATTTACCTAGGTTGTCTTTCTCTTTCCTTTTCTTTTCAAAGCATTTAGTTAGCAAACCATTGGAAAAAAGAGTTGCAACATTTACTACTAGAAGGAAAAACCTGTTGCTAGATATAAAATGTTTTTGAGGTAATTGTTTGTAGTTCAGCCCACCTAAAATCACGATCATCATAAAGTGATTCAACTGACATTGGAGCCATGGTATTTGCACTTAAAATTTCTTTGGTGCGTTTAACCTGTTTCTTCAATTTAGCCATTGCTTTAGGGGACTTCCTTACATCTATCCCATTCCCAACTTGATTATTGAACTCATCTGCGAAGTACTCCACCAAACGCATTTCCATATCTTGACCCCCAAGTGCCATGTTCCATCTGACATCTTTAACCTGCAACATCATTCATGAATTACATCTCCCAAAACAAATGAAAAAATTCCAATGACCATCAATAGGCATAATGCATAACGGAACACAAAAAGGGCACAAATAACAATAACAATTATAAGGTCACAAGCCTAACAATCTCAATTACCAAAATAATTCTAGATACGTAATAGGAATTAGTCAGAGAAAAATGTCAGGCTGTTTTACAGCTCCACTGTTAGTAACACAATAACATGTAACAACATCATAACAAGTGACTAGCCATCTTTGAGAGGAAAAGGATCCCAAAATGGTAGAAGAAACAACCAACTTCTTGATCACCATGAAATACAAGGAGAAAAGGAAGAAAAGTAGGGAAGACTATTTGCTATACAGCATGTATACATGTACCAAAGATTCTCCATCTTAAGATGATACTTATGATATAGACTTTGTAGAGAGACTGGGCCGAATGGGCCCTAGTGTCTATTTTATGTTTCAGTAGTAGGTTATTTATTTTGTATGCTAATGGGCCTGTTAACTTCTTTTAAGTTATTTAAAATTTATGCTTAGCTAAAAACCCCACTTAAGGGCTGATTTGTAATTAACTACATCAGTGAAGACTAATAAAAGGATTAGTGAAGGGAGAGAGGTGATTATCAAACCCTCTTCTTCTTCCTCTTCTTCTTCTCCATCCCCTTCTTCTATTCTATTGTTTCTTCTTCCTCTTCTTCTTCTCCATCCCCTTCTTCTATTCTATTGTTTCTTCTTCCTTTCTCACTTTTTTACTTCTTTAATCAGTTTCTTATCAGATTTAGAAGTTCTTGGTATCAGAGCAGGTTTTCCCTCTTTTTTCTTTTCTTAATTTCTCTTTTCCCATACACCCTTCGATTAGGAGTGTGTATGGAGAGATAAATTCTTAATAGATCAGAGAATATTTTTGCCTAGTTGGTAGAGGGTTTGAAGAATTAGAATCTGGCCGAAAACTGCCAAGAAGTGGAGTTGTAATTTTCTGACCCTAGCCGACTAGAGAGCTTTCAAGTTATAGGTCAAGGAGAAGATTTGGGTGTGGCGCTCAAGACTTTGGAGGTGTAGTTTGACCTCTAGAAGTGTGTGGCTAAGACTTGTAGGTGGTTTGGAAGCCCTGGTAGGAGCGGCTACCTCTTCTCTCTTCCTCCTCGACAATTGGGCGCAGTGAAACCCTAGTTTTCAAGTCTGCAGGTATTGTATTGACCTCAGTTAAGTTTATATAGACTGAAAAACTAGTTTTTTGATATTCGCTTGATCAATGGAGCATTCCAGAAGTGAATCAAAGAAAATGCTGGTATCTGGGGTTGGCCCAGTAGATTCCTGTTTTACTGGAGTGACCACAATCAAGCTAGATGGCACCAATTATCTAGCCTGGGCACAATCTATACAGATTCATGTCTATAGTAGAGGTAAACTGAGATATCTCACAAGCAGTAAGGTGAAACCCGTAGAAACAGACCCTGCATATGAGAAATGGATATAGGAGAACTACACTATTATTGGATGGTTAGTTAACTCTATGCAGCCCCATATAAGTCAGCATTATCTCTGGATGTTTTCGGCCAAGGAAATCTATGACAATGTTATGGAAACATTCACAGAAGTTGAATGTGGCAAAAGTCTATAAGCTGAAAAGTGATGTGAAAAATCTGAGACAAGAGGAGAAGAGTGTAGCGATCTAGTATTCCGTGCTGAAATCACTATGGCAGGAAATTAATGTTATGGAGACGGTTGTTTGGGAGAGTACTAATGATGTAGAGACTTTTAGGAAACTGGTGGAACAAAACAAGGTGCTTGAGTTTCTTACAGGACTCAACCCTGAGTTCGACATTACTAGACAGAATATTCTAGTGAAGGATGATGTCACTCTTGCTTAGGCATACGCTATGGTAAGCAATGAAGAGAGAAGGCGAAAAGTGCAGTAACAGAGTCCACCTACAGAACATTTTGCACATGCTGGAATAAAGATAAAAGGTCCGACCGAGAAGAAAGAAGTGATATGTGAATACTGTAAAAACCAAAGCATACTAAGGACACTTGTTGGAAACTCCATCCTGATCTTCTCCCGGACAGGTTTCAGAATAACAACAATAACAGCAATAGCAACAGCTTTAAGAAGAATGGTCAGACAGGATAGCCTAAGAATGCTAATGTTGCCATAGTACCTGAAGGAGAGAACAAGGAGAGTGAAGAAAAATCAGCTATGGAGCAGCTGGCAGCAGTAAAGGAAGAGTTTGAAAAGTATGGGAGGTTATTGAATCACTTGAAACCACTGTAACAACATCCTACCCTTTTGGCAGCACTTCATCACCTACATTTGCTCACTCAAGTACTCGTGCTTCTATAAATCATGCTTCTATTTCAGGTAATCATAAAATCTCTTGGATTATTGATTCTGGTGCATTAGACCATATGACCAGTTTGTCTAACATATTTTGTTCCTATCAACTCCTCTCTGGTAGAGAGAAGATATCTCTTGTTGATGGGTCTCTTGTTCCCATCTCTGGCAAAGGATATATCAAGGCCTTTGACACACTTGTCTTATCCTATGTTCTTCATGTCCTCAAGCTAGCATGACTAAATCCATGAATTGTAGCATAACCCTTTTTCCTACCCACCGTGTTTTTCGGGGCCTAAAATCTTAGAGGATGATTGGGAGTGGCCATGAGGCAAATGAAATATACTTGTTGGACACACCTGATAAGAGTCTTGGACCACCTAATGGAGTAGCTTTGGAGTTTGTTGTGTTAGAGTTTATTGATAGAGTCATGTTATGTCATTTGTGGTTTGGTCATTTACTTTTTTCAGCCTTGAGCCATTTGTTTCCCAATATGCTTAAGGGAGAGTGTCTTTATCGAGTCTTCATTGTGAGTCTTGTGAACTCGCAAAGCATTGTGGACAATCTTATTCAATAAGCAATAAAAGATCCGTTTCTCCTTCTCATATTGTGCACTCCGATGTGTGGGGGTCATATCATTTGCCTACTATGGGGGGTTAAAGATATTTTATCCTCTTTATTGATGATTATTCTCGCTATATTTGGACTTATCTCATAAGATCCTAGGATGAAGTACCAACTATTGTGAAAAATTTTCATAAGCTTATCCTTACCCAGGTTAATACATGGATCGAAATATTCCAATCTAATAATGCTAAGGAATATTTTGAGAAGAACCTTTCATCCTACTTTGAGACCTTTGGGGTTATTCATTAGAGTTCTTGTTCCTACACTCCACAACAGAATGGAGCGACGAAAAGGAAGAACCACCATATGGTTGAGGTTGCTTGATGCCTCCTTTTTGCATCTCATGTTCCTATTAAATTTTGGAGGGATGTTGTCCTTACTGCCACCTTCTTGATTAACAACCGTATGCCTTCTCAGGTTCTGGGTTTCAAAACCCCATTTAGCCTTATCTTTCCGGATGGGGATCTCTTTTCTCTTTCTACCCGAATCTTTGGGTGCACTTACTATGTACATGTTCATAATCATCAGAGACACAAATTTGAGCCTAAGGCACATAAGTGTGTTTTCAAGAATATGCCTCCACACAAAAGGGACATTGTTGTTTTGATCTAGCTCGTGGCACCTGCTTTGTCTCTAGGGATGTCACATTTGCTAAGTCCATTCCTCTCTTTAGTATTTCTCCTGAGGGGGAGCATCCTGAGCAGTCATTTGCTACGTACATCTCCAATGGTTCCTCTTCCAATTCCTTTTGAGTCCCCTACTGACTCATCTTCTTCTGATGCCTCCCCTTCCACTGTCTCTCCACATGTTCTTGCTCCCCCTCCTCCTCCAGCTCATCCTCCTACATTTCCTTCACATCCTGTGCTCCAAAGGTGGTACTAACAACAAAGATTCAAGGATGGGCAAGTTGTTTCCACTCCTTCCACAAAGCCTCTTGCACCTCCCATCACTATTGAGGCAACAAATCAGCCCTCCTCTAACCCACCTACCTTCCCAGACCTTGACCTTCCTATTGCCCTTCGAAAAGGCAAGCGGAAGTGTACAACACATTGTATCTCTAAACACCTGTCTTATAGCCTTCTATCCCCTACCTATTACTCTTTTCTTGCCTCCATTTTTACCCATGTTATTCCCAGGTCTGTACTAGAAGTCCTGTCCAAACCTGAATGGAGGGATGCTATGATGACTGAATTTGATGCTTTGCATAAGAACCATACCTAGGATATTGTGGATTTGCCTAAAGGGAAGGAGCCTATGGGTTGTAAATGGGTGTTCACCATTAAGTACCATTCTGATGGCACCATTGAGAGGTTTAAGGATCGATTGGTTGCTAAAGGCTACACTCGGATGTATGCTATTGACTACCTTGAGACCTTTGCTCCTATGACCAAGATGACTTCAATTCAAGTTTTGTTGTCTCTAGATGCTACTTTTGATTAGCCCCTTCACCAGTTCGATATTAAAAATGCCTTTTTGAATGGAGACCGCCATGAAGAGGTCTATATGTCTTTGCCTCAAAGGGTGTATAGAAAAGAAATGCAAGGGAAGGTGTGTAAACTGCAGAAATCTATTTATGGTCTCAAACAGTCTCCTCAAGCCTGGTTTCAGAGATTCAAATCTGCTCTTGTATCCTTTGGTTACACACAAATCCAATCTGACTATACTTTGTTTCTGAAAAGAATTAACTCTTTGGTGACTTTTCTGATTGTTTATGTTGATCACATTGTGGTCAAGGGTAATGACACCCAAGAAGTGATTAAGCTCAAAAGGATTTCTTAACTCTAAATTTGAAATCAAGGATTTGGGGGATCTTAGATATTTCTTGGGAATTGAAGTTGCTAAATCCAATGATGGTATCTTCATTTCTCAACACAAGTATGTTCTTGACCTCCTAGTAGAGACTGGTAAACTTGGTGCTAAACCAGCTCCCACCCCTATAGATCCCAATCATAAGCTCTCTGCCACTGATGGTGAACTGTTACCTAATAGGGGAGTGTTTCAGAGACTGCTTGGGAAGTTGTTATATCTCTACATGACTCGGCCAGATATTTCCTATGCAATGAGTGTTATTAGTCAGTTTATGCATTCTCCCAGAGACACACAATTAGTTGCTGCTGAAAGAGTTTTGTGTTATTTGAAAGGCACTCCAGGGAAAAGTATTCTGTTTTCCTAACATGGACAAACAAAGTTAGAAGCATACACTAATGTTGATTGGGCTGGATGTATTGATGATAGGAGATCCACCTCAGGATATTGTGCTTTAATGACAGGAAACATTGTCTCATGGAGGAGTAAGAAACAGTATGTAGTAGCCAGATCTTCAACTAAAGCAGAATACAGGGCAATGGCAGATGGAGTGTCAGAATTACTGCGGTTGATATCACTTCTGGAAGAGTTGGATGTTGACCATGTAAAGCCAAAGATGCTCTACTATGACAACCAAGCTACTATCAATATTGCACATAATCGTGCTCAACATGACAGAACTAAGCACATAGAGGTTGATAGACATTTTATACAAGAAAGAGTTGTTTTAGGAGATGTTTGCTTGCCATTTATTTCTTCAGAAGAGCAGTTGGCTGATGTCTTGACCAAAGGTGTTCCAAAAGGGAAACTGACACACTATATAAGCAAGCTGGGCATGATTGACATCTATGCTCAGCTTGAGGGAGAGTGTAGAGAGACTGGGCCGAATGGGCCCTAGTGTCTATTTTATGTTTTAGTAGAGTAGGTTATTTATTTTGTATGCTAATGGGCTTGTCTTATGGGCCTATTAACTTATTTTAAGTTTATGCTTAGTTGGACACCCCACTTAAGGGCTGATTTGTAATTAACCACATTAGTGAAGATTAATAAAATGATTAGTAAGGGGAGAGAGATGATTATCAAACCCTCTTCTTCTTCCTCTTCTTCTTCTCCATCCTCTTCTTCTATTCTGCTGTTTTCTTCTTCCTTTCTCACTTTTTTACTTCTTTAGAAGTCAGGTTTACTTCTGACTTGGTCTTGAACCTAGGAATAATATGCTAGATAAGACATAAAATCTTCCAATCTCATGAAAGTGGAAATTCAAATCTTAGAAAACAGTACTGCAGGAATTTCTGAATTCAAGTTTTTAATAAAAATAGTACCAAAGATTTCTTGAGGAGAACAAGTATAAGTATAGATTTTTTTAATAGGTAAAAAATGAAATTTTCATTAAAATATAAGAAAAATACATGCTGATGGTGACAAGGCATCGCCCAATTACAACAAGTATAAGATATAGATATAGATATAAAAGATTTTAATGATGTTGAGACACATTCCATTTATATTTCATATCAGTATTCAGTACCCTTAGACGCAGAAATATGCTGTGGAAATGTTAGGAAATATGTAAATCATGGCCATATGCAACACGATTTTTTCATAGATATGCTGTCAAATATACAAAATTGATCAATTATATTTTCATTGACCTTATTACTTTCAAGCATTAGTCTTATGCCTTCACGTTAAACTCAATTTTCAGTGTTCATCTTCAGGTGCATAAAACTTTCATGCTTGAAATGATCAAATGTTGCACTGCTAAGATGTTCAATGGATAAGCAGGAGCCTAAGTTATGTGTATGGCCTCACCTTATAAACTTCTATCTCAATTTAGGGGCAAATTTTGAGAACGATATATGCGTTCAGGAATTAATAACCAAAGGAGAAGTCAGCATTAAAGCTTACCTGGAATTGATTGACCGACACTGTCTTCCCATACTCCTTAGTATTATAAGCCGAGAAGTACACAAGAGCAGCGTAAGTACTAGTTGAACCCATGTCATAGAATATAACATGCCGTGACTCATTGGAGAAATCCTTATCGATCCCATACTGGAGTGCTGCACCAGAGTGCTCATTGATAAGAGATAGCACATTAATACCAGCCAATTGTGCTGCTTGAAGCAATCCTTTCCGCTCCGCCTGCCCAAAGTAGGGCGGCACCGTAATAACTGCATCCTTAATCGGCACCTTCGAATGAAACTCCGCCAAATGTAGGCCATAACTTAGCACCATTGCTACCAACTCTTCCGCCGAATAAACAGTAACGCCGTCATCGGTCCTAATTCCTGCTGTGCCTCTGGAATCCTCCACCAGATCAAACGGCAGGTACAACGAATCCATAAGATCCTTCACGTACTTAAACGGCTTTCCGATGATATCTCTAACTTGTGAATAGACCTTATCAGGGTACCTAGCGATAATTCCAGCTGCTTCTTCTCCAACCAGGCGATTGCCACCTTGAAATGCAACTAATGCCGGAGATTTCCTCTTTGACATCTCATTAATTGCTATAGAAATCGGACTCTGCCCGGGCTTGAGGTTTACAACCGCCACTTTCATCCACTCTGAACCTAGATCTATGCTCGAAACCGCAGATTCCGACGGAACTACAATGAGAAAAAGAATCAAAACCGATAACCCTAACTTAGGCCACATCTTCATTCCCTGTCGCTTTTCAACTGCTAAAAACGAACAAATGAATGTAAAGCCTGCAAGCCGAAATCCCAGTGTTCAAAATGACATTCAAGAATAACACACATAAGTATCGAAGGTCCCAGCCATTAAAACTGACCCCGAGCTCAATATTTCGAGGCTGTGGAATTAGGGTTTCAGTTTCGCTTTTCGAATTCTGAGAAAAGGAACTGATCGATCATTCGATCGAGAAGAATAGAGAGAAAGAACCCAAGATCTGAGTTAACGGTCTTTCTTTCTGGGGATCAGTAGGACAGGTTTTGAAGGTTGAAAAAAAGTGTGTATGAAGAACGGTCTACTTGTCTAGTTTACGAAACACTATCCAATAAAATGAAGCCACGTTGCATTATGTACACGTGGCGCAAGTTGAGGCGCCCACTCTGCTGTGTGCTTGTAGATCGTAGATGTTTCTGGAGCTGAATCAAAAATCCACGTGTCAAGTCAAGAAATCTAAAATCTTGGTATATAAAGAACGGTCTAACTCTAGCCAATAGAATGAAACCACGTTGCAATATGTTCACGTGGCGCAAGCTGAGGCGCCCCTTGTGCTGTGTGATTGTAAACCGTAGATGGTTTCTTGGACCTGAATCAAAATCCAGATGTTAATCAAGAATATTTTTGGGTAAATTGGAAAATCTCCCCCATATTTTCTGACAATTAGTTAGACGTCCCCTATATTTTGTGCGTAGCAAAAACTCTCCCGAGGTTCAGCCCGTCGTGATATCTACACCCCTCCCGTTAGGTAGATAAAATGATGTTGTCATAGACTCGTCTGTCATTCTCCCAAAATTTTAAAATACCCAATTTGCCCTTATAAAACAAGGTTTGGATTATTTAATGAAAAAAAACTAATAAAATATACAATCCATGTAGATGGTTGATGAATGACGAATCTATGGGTAGCTTAAATTTGTCACCTCTCTAGGACTAATTTTCAGGAGCAAAATTCCAGAGGGCATTTTGCTAAATAAATGATCGTGTGATCATTTTTGACAAAACGGATTACGTTTCAAGAATATTACAAAAAGAGTGAGACGGTGAGGTTTTTGCTTTTTGGACAAAAATGCCCTTTACTAAATGACTAGACCATAAAACTCATTTATCCTTTACGTTCACCGCACTTCATTTATCCATTACATTCACCGCACTTCTTGTTCGAGTGATGGTGGAGTTGGCTAAGATGCCATGTGGCATCCTTCGCAGCCATCCTCTCTGTAGCTATGTTGGTACCACGTGTAACAGAAGAGTTGACTAAGAAGGAGTGTCTTACATGGATAAGGAAGCAAACTCCGTCGGGGAAGAGGAAACCTCTCGAAGATCTTGGCAGATGATCTCATCCCAACAACCCCGAAAGCACCATCCATCTAGAACATGGACACCCAATTATAAATAGGTATTCCTCACTCGAGGTAAAAGACTTTGGACTTTTAAAAGAACACTCTGAATATCTTTACACTATCTCTTCGGTTCAAACCGACATTATTCCAACCTGTTCAACCCGACCACCTCCCTCTCTACCGAACTGACTTGAGTGCCAGAGTACCTACCCAGGGAATAACTCCTCAGGCCTCTAACCCTTCTCCTAATTGTAGATCTTAGTGCATAACATCGTCCTTCCACCTCGGCTTCATCTAGTTGGTAGGGTTATTTGATTGTGTCTTCCATTCAAAACACCTCGGATCGAACAACATAAGATTGGCGTCGTCTGTTGGAAACGTACAAATAGCCATTTCCCAAACACCTTTCTACACACTCAAAGAAATCATGCCCAAAAACGCATCCTACCGCTCTAGAGCACGTTCCCCATCTCGGGGATCCTGTTCACATCGCAACTCTCCACCTCGTGAGCCCTAGCATCAAGCTGCAGTCGAAATTGCACAATTTCAATCCATGCACTAGAAAGTCGATTGCATCCTAGCCATAATGGAGGCGTTAGGGCAACTAGCTCACCCTCCCCAAGCTACATGCCCTGCCACGTAGGCGCCTACTATAGTCGATCCTTGCACCGAGGACCCTAAAGGGTGCCACGTAGATAGGCATGAACGACCGCAACCATTCAGAGGATCTGACTCCCCAACTCAGTCTCACGCACTTGATGCCCACATTAGATCTCGTCACTCTACCAGGGTGCTAGCAAAAGAACAGCTCGACCAACGTCTACAGCAGTTGCCGGTCTCGATAGCCAAATCCAGCTCGGTCCGAGATTGGCTTGCAACCCCAAAAGGGGAGAAGTCCACAAACACGGTCCTAGCCAATAGAGGCATCGAGATCAGAGAGCTAAAAGAGCGCTTGGCCGAACCGGAGCGCAACCAAGCGAATAGAAGCGTTGCCCCCCCCCCCCTGACAGCTCGACCAACAAAGCAACACCACGGTCAATAGCCTGCCAAAGAGCCCATCTTCATCCAAGAAATTGTCGACGAACTCCCTTCAACCGTATAGAGACCTTAGTTCGACAAGTACAATGGAGCCTCGGGCCCCAATGGCCACATTGAGGGGTTCAAGGCGTTAATGATGCTACACGGATCCTTTGAAGGCCTCATGTGCAAGGCCTTCGTTGCCACCATCCATGAAGTCGCTAGAATGTGGTATGCTTCCCTTCCTCCACAGTCCATATCCTTGTGTGAGCAACTGGAGACGCAGTTTCTAGCGTAGTCCACCGCCAACCAAAAGCACTAGAAGATGTCGGCCAACCTCATGCAAGTGCAGCAAAGAAAAGGAGAGACCTTGAGGGAATACTTGGCGAGGTTCAACGCTGAGGCCCTCCAAGTCCAAGCTCTAAACTAATCAGTAGCTATGACCGCCATCATGAGCGGACTGCACTCCTCGATGTTCAGCTTCTCTTTGCAAAAGAATCCTCCACCCAACCTGGCCATGCACATGAAGCACACAAAGAAGTATATGAATGTTGAAGAGGCCCAAGCATTGCGTAGGGAGGATGAAGACCCGCATGACTGGAAGTGCAATGACCACGATGGTTGAAGACCAGACCAAGAAACCAAGAGGCCAGATCGATGACCTGACCATGGACCGAGGACCCCGCCGTCGACGTTTCACAACTTCACTCCACTCAATGCTCAGCAAGCTCATATACTAATGCAAATCCACGATCGCAACTTCATCAAGTGGCATGAGAAGATGAAAATCCAGAGCCATAAGAGAACCCAAGACAAGTTCTGTGATTTTCACCACAACCACAACCATGACACCGAGAGCTGCCACGACCTCCGCCACCACCTGGAAGACCTCGTTCAATGCGGATACCTTTGTGGATTCATTGACATCAAAGAACACAAACCTAGGGAAGAACCACACCGTGTTGACGAGCCCCCAGCCCGAGCTCCCCCGATTGGGGCCATCGCCACCATCTTGGGTGAGACAACCCTTAAAAGGGGGAACTAAGCATAGAAGATCTACCCGAGGCGCTAGAGTGTCAGAACTATAATGTACCGACGACTATCGGCGTCGAACAGTAATGGTGACTAGACTATACAAATTCAATAAATAAAGAATCCCCTTCAAGCACGACCAACCAAACGTTTGTGCACAACTCGGCCAAACTCCGCGTTGACCAACGATCACTACGCGGCGACAACTCCACAAAAGACCTGGCCGACCACAAACGATCGAGGCCAGAATAAGTCCCCAACGGGTACTGTGGGAACGACGCATAATGGCAAGAAGACAGTCATCGAGGACCACACCCCCCTCCCCCAACAAGCAACCAAAGCAGAGCTAACCAAGAAGGACCATGGCTAGCCCAATAGAAGAGCGCAGCTCTCTGAAACCTAGTGCCGCTGAGCTCCGTGGCAACATTGAAAGCTTGGAAGCACCTCGACCAGCATAAAACTGAGGCCAAGCCAGAGACCTTAGCCAATGAAGACCAAAGACCTTAGTTAGCATAAGATCGATGCCACTAAGGCAGAGACCTCATCCAGCGAAGACCAACAACCTTGGCTAGCGCAAGATCGAGCCACTAAGCCAGAGACCTCAGCCAACGTAAGACCGAGACCACCACACCAGAGACCTCATCCAATAAGAATCGAAGGCCTCCGACTAGCTTGAAGTACAAAAGCACAACCAACACTCCTTACCGACCAACCTAATTCCAAAGCACGACAACTTAGAAAATTCAAAAAGGTAACACAGAATGTGCTTGGTAAGAAAGCCAAATTTCCATTAATAAAAAAGAGTTGATACATTGATTTAAGCTTGGCATACCGAGCTATATACAAAAAAAAAGGAAGAGAAAAAAAGAGCACATCAACTGTCCATTGGGGGATCATCGGCTTGCTCTTAGGCATCGGCTACAGTGGTACCCTCGTCAAGCTCCTCGGCATCAAAAGGGTCGAACCCCTAAACGACTTCAGCTGAATCTAGGAAGTGAAGTATCACCCTCCGTTGACAAAGAGCGAACCCCTCTTGCCAGGAGTTAGTAGCATAGTTGTCCAACTCGTTCTGATGGGCCTTCAAAGCTTTATACTCGGAGATGCCCTCTTCCTTTGCCCGAGCAATCTTTACCTCGATCTCCTCGATCCCCCTTCTCAGTGCATCACATGCCTCCTTGAGATCGTGAACGCGATCCTTCAGCTTACAGACAATGTCTTCCCTCTCCTCGACATCGTGCTTCAGCTCGGCCAATTCCACCTTCAGCTGAGCATTTTCAATCTCTTGCGACTCATAGAATTGTCGTAGTCCATGAAGGCAGTTAACAAGGCTGACAACCAAGCAAACCGACTACAAAACATCGAATAGTTAGTATAAGAAAAAAATGGGAGAGAAACAAGGACGGATAAGTAAAGCCAAACTTACCACCATGATCTGATGGAACGCCGCATTCTCCAGGAAGTTGATGGTGTGACTACTAGCTTCCTTCCTAATGCTGGGGAGAATCACACCCCAAGCGAGTTTCTCGATCACCCTTCTGGCTCAAAGGTGTCCTCGAGCCGAACCAACCACTGCAACACATACACCCCAGTTGAACCCTCAATCGTAGCATGTTCTGAAGCATCCCCCCTACGACAAAGACCACCCTAGTTGAGTCGCGACCTCCTTAGAGTCGACCACCATGAACTCCATTGACCTCGGCCTCTTCCCTTGCCAAGGTGTGCATTCCGTTGAGTGTCATTGATGATCCATGCCCCCAGAGTGTGCACCCGAAATCCCAGCCACTTGTGCCTTCCTCATTGCTGCGAACCTCATACACTGAGCTCTCTCCTCAGCATCAGCCATATCCGAGTTTGCACAAATCACTTCAGAGTTA